CATTCTTGAATGTGGGCGATCTGTTGACAATGGGGCCTTAATGTTAAATTTGGTAGTTTGCATTCTGGGGACAAAGTGACTTTAACATGGGTTGGTTCGTCTAGGGATAAGTGGGAATTAACGTAGGGAATGTATATCAATATGGCATTCTACATGTCTAGGGACAATAGGAATTGAACAGGGGTGATGTCTTGGTACTGGACACTGGCAATAGTGGTACAGGCGGCTGACCTCAATCGTTTGGAACAGTGGGGCAAGGGGCTGACCTGAATACGCGTTACTCTAAGGACAAATAGAGACAGACGTAGAATTTATGTTGGGGTTTGGACCAGGAAATCCCAGTCATGGGTTTCATTATTTGTCTCTCCTCGGGCAAACTTTGAGGGTAGACATAATATAACCCCGCAATTGTGATTTCCTTGTTTAAGCTCAAATCCCAACTTATATATTCTTTTTCTCAATCAATACTATCATTTAAAGGAAGAAGAAAAAAAATACCGTTACTTGTGCAGTATAGTCAACACGCAAATGTTAACATTCAGTGCATTATTACAAATACGACAATGAGGACTGTGGCTCGACGTGTCATCCGAAGTAGTTTTTATGCGTGGGCCAAAAACAAAAAATAACAACATACGTTGGATAGTTTTCAAGTATTATCACATTTAATATATGGATGTTAAATAGTTAACATTTATCACAAAAAATGTTTCATTTTCATCCGTTCCAAATTAGAAAATTATATTGAACATAATGAGATGATACTGGGCCCACATCTCTGTTGTAGTGTACACATGTTGCATGAATGTACCTGCATGGGTAATTAGAGAGCCATATTACTATTATACATAACTCTCCTTTTCATTAGAGGTGCAACTGTTACATACTTGTGGTGTAATTAATATTGATTGTGAAAGTACCCTCGTGTGTAAAATACGGACCTCAGCGGATAACCATGTGCTAAACTTTCAAATTCACGGATTCTTTGAAAATGTATCTTTCTGTCTTGGAAATATGGCAAGTGTTACAGTGAAATTTGTTAATGGATTAATATGTTGATGGATAAAAGCTTCCTTTTGGCTGGTAAGAGCATTATCTGTCATTCAATATTGTAGGTATACTTTTGATTCAACTTGTGCGCAATTAAGATGATTAACAATAATTGAACTTAAGCGTGTTTGATATAACACATTTCTGGCTCTTACTAAATTTTCTGCAGTTGTTACGAGCGTTGGAAGACCATGAAGTGTAAAGGTCTATAGGCTATATGTCAGAGTTTTCTATCATAGTTCATTTCACACAACATTGAGAATTTGATCCTATCTCTAGCACTTTCAATTTTCAGGTCAGAATCATTAAATGTAGCTAACAGTATATAACTTGTTTCACACGAATTATTTAAAACTATTTAAGTAGCTTTACCCACATTTAATGACGCTGACCTGAAAATGTACACGACTGCAGATAGGATTAAACTGACCATGCTGTGTGCAACAAACTATATATAGCATATTTAAAAAACTCGACATCGTGTTCGTGTGTCTGTTTGTCTCTAAATGTTTTGTATGGCGTGTTCTCAAAATCGGAGAGACCTTGACTTACTATGTTGTTTTGTTTTATATTTGTTATTGTTGTTATTGCTGCTGTTTTATTTTCGAACAACTACGTCAGGCATAGCAGAAGCCAACAAGGTTTTCTGTTTCCAAAAATAGTCTTGAGCGAGTGGACACCTGCACTAGGACCACTGGTCTAAAACGAATAGACTTAGTGAATGATAGCAAGGTTAGCAAAACAGCTAGATGTCTCTATCGCATTGGTGAGAAATAGATCTATCGCACACAAAATAGACTATTTTTTTAGGCAAAAGAGTAAAGACATCTTTTCGCGGCAATGTAATCGCCCAGAAAAGGGCCGTACAACATTTTCTAATTCCTCTCCTCCATTCGTCTTCTCCAGCATCTCCTCATCTTCTCCATTACATATTTTGTCTTCTTCTTCTTCTTCTTCTTCTTCTTCTTCTTCTTCTTCTTCTTCTTCTTCTTCTTCTTCTTCTTCTTCTTCTCGTTATATTTCCTCTTGTTTCCTTTTCTGATTCTCTTCTTCTTTTTCAAATTTAACATTGTAGGGTCTTATTTGTTCCTTTTTTCTATGTCCTCCATCTCCTCCTTTTCCTCTTTTATAAACTCTCTGAGCCTTTCCTTGGCCTTTCTTAAATTATTTATCTCGACTTTTACTCTGTGAAAACTATAACATCCATCTTTAAACATAGCCAATATTTAATCCACCATTTCTCTATCGTCCACCTCCTCTTGCAGCGTATGCATTTGCTTGACATTCTTTTTGTTACTCAATGTTGAATGGTGCGATTGACGAACGCTTCAACTTATATACTTCAAACACGGACGTGAAGTAAACATCCCATCACACCACCTACCCAACTAAATTGTTGTTCTAAAAGGTGATCACGTGACCCTCATACTAGAATCTGTTTTGTGTCTTAACACACTGTATAGCCGATTTCTAGTGAAGAACGAGCCAGTTGGGCTAAAAATCTTCGACATTTACAGGTGCCTTGTTGTGACGAGTTTCAGTTGTTTTTTATTTTTGGGAATTATTGATCTTTTCACTGGAAAATACTAGTGCTCATACAGCAATTTTTGGACAAGAAAATTTATGGAAATTTATTTAGAAATTCTAAATTAGAATTTTATATTTTGTGATTCAACTAGGAACTTTTGATAAGTCAACACTTTGAAGGTCACGACATAGTCATTGCTCTCCATTTTTATTTCATCGGGACTCGATTACATATTTATTAAGGACTTTTCATCGATGACTTCTATTTTTATTCTTGGATTAATTTTGGATTAGATACGTAAACAGTAAGTCATTTGTTTCACTTTTACCTTGTTTTTCTTGGGAAATAAATTATTTGTTAAATTCTGCAAAGCTTGGTGTTGTCTTCACTCTTTTCTTGTTACTTTTGAACGAGATTAGATACGTAACAATGACTTGGAGGCACACTTTAAATTGATTTCTGATAGTTTTCCCATTCTCACGGAAGAAATTAGAAAACTAATCTTGTAGAAATTATGTGGAAGCTGCAGCTGGAAGTGATATAAATTTGTTCCTCACCAATAGTTTGTCTGTGATGCAGAAAGCTGTTAGCTGTTGATGTTCGCAGGCGTTTGTACTTAAGGAAATTGAATTTGCTGCGTGAGCTACAATTATAACATCCCTATTGGCAAAATTATAAATCTGCTTATGTATTGTAAGATCAGATGGCAGCCATTGTCTTTCAGCCTTACAGAGTTCGCTCTGGACAGCACGCAGCTTGGTTTCTGCTGTTATGGAGAATATTTCTTCACTGCCACAGAAGTATGCTTATCAAGCACTGAACGCAGATAAAGATGGAATTGTTCAGTAGTGGGATTTTGTACAGTCGTTAGGCAGGAACCAATTTCATTCATTAGTTGAATTCTGTTAATCAAGGTGAAATGCAAATATAGTTTTGACAGATGTTGTTGGTAGGGATGATTGTAACAGAGATACTTATATCAAGTTCATGATGTTACCATAATATGAGTTTGAGGTGTTGAAAACATTGCTGAACGTCGGCCTGGACAGTAATGGAGATGAAGAGGTATTTGCGATTTCACTACCAGTTTTTTTCTTCTTCTTGCGTCCTGAGAGAAATGACGGTAATTTGTATTTGGTCGGATGCATTTCATTGATGGAAAAAAATGTGTAGTCCGAAATCTTTAAGTTTATCTTTACGTTTAGGGCACCAATTAGATGCTGATTTATGTGCGCTTTGAGTATCGACAATAGCTCTGAACAGTCAGGACCACGCGTGGTGGACGGACACTCCAATATGGCTGGCTGATGAGTGGAATGGAAAACTATACCAAAATGAAGACCGAAACATGTTGGACGTAATAAATAAAACAGGTGCATACAACGAAATGCATAAACTATCCAGATACATAATAAATTCGGAACAGCTGCCTTTATCTTGTGTACTTAGGTTATATCAGTTGGTGTTTTAGCGTACATGACTTTTGTCATACATTATTATACTAAACAAGATGTTTACTTAAATTTGAGTTCGAGACTTGCTTTGTTTACGAGTTAGTGGTTATACTTTCGTATGTCAAAAAACAATTTGTATCTACGGAGACTTGATAATAGTTAATTCGTTTCAGTTTTAAGATTAGTCTGTAGAATACAGTTGTATTCAGATATAATTTGGGAGGGATATTTTATTTAAATTTTTTTTAATGTGTTCCTCGACTTTTGGACTAAAACAGGACCTTTTTAATGGAGAAAACATTCAAAGAATTCTGGAGTTGTGAATTGTGCTACATGAGGACAATGAAGACTGGGGATTTATTTTAAACATTATATACTGTTGTACGTGTTATACAATACTAGAACAGTTTTGGATTTAATGTAAAATTATTTTAAATATTCACTTAGTAACTTAAGAGAAATAAATTATTTCATTGTTTGTACTAGACTTGTTGGTATCTCATTCTTTTTGTTACATACGAGCAAGAGTCGTTACAGTCTGGTACGATGTAAAGGACGAAAGAAACTGCGAGCAGTTAGGTAACAGAAGAGCGCTAAATAAAGATGATGTGATAAATAATATGACGACGTCGCAAAGCATAAAGCTGTTTTGGCTCGGAAATTTTTTTTGGCAGTAATTTAGAGTTTACGATAGTTATTAATTTGTCCTGTTTCATCTAGGTAGGTTAGTCTGTATAAAATTAAATGATTTTGTTTCTTGGTATGTATTAGTAGCACATACAGCTTACATACTAATTATCTGAGATGGTATTGTGACATGATATGTTGAATAGCACACAGGTGTGTGAGTGAGCATCACTTATCCATCCCTTTTCCTCATTTGTTTGGTTTGCAAAGGGTAAATAGTGTATGGTGAAGGTGGTTATGCATGATTAATAAGTTACACTATTTATGGCTATACTTTACATGACCTCATCGGTGGTCTAGTGGTTAGAACGTCCGCCTAGGATGCGGAAGGTCGTGGGTTCGATTCCCAGCAGAGTCATACCAAAGACTTTAAAAAATGGTACTAACAGCTGGCTCGCTTGAGGCTAGTGTTAGGATTGCTTGACCTGGTGCTACATGTCTGAGGCATGATGCCCCATTGCTAGACATCGGTATAAACTGCCACATGACTGAAAAATTATTAAAGCTACGTTAAAAATCCGAATCACACACACACACACACACACACACACACACACATGCACCTATTTTACATCAAACCACACTCACCCTCATACACGCCATTGTGTAGTTCATATTTGTATCCGCAAACGTAGCCTTAGTCTATGTTAGACCATATTTTCCCCTCTGGTTTTGGTGGTGATGATGCAAGGGTTAGATGTAAGCATTCTTGCTATTCATTTAAATGAAATTGCTCATTCGTTAAACTATGAACATGATGCTGTATTTGTCTGTGTGTATTTCTGCCACAGTGGAACAGTGGAGGGTAGTGATGATTTTATGTGAAATACATGACAAATTATAAGTTGCATTGTTTTCAGTCCAGTGTCCTAAAGAAAATACCGTATAACCTATGACAACTTCAAAGTGAGTTCATCCTTGAAGCTATTTTAGATTAACATAGGATATATTATGGCTTTGACACAGTAGAAAGTGCTGAAGTAAGAAACTAATTAAGAGAATATATATGAAACATAATTGTGATCCTAGTCCAGGTGTAGGTGTTGAAAAGTTATGATACGTTTTGGTTAGTCAAGGTAGGTGTTGTCTGACGGAGGTCCATCAAAGTAAAGCAGAAAAAGGGTCCATCAATAATATTATTCAAATATGGAATCGTTTAGTGTCACATCTTGCATAGAACTCATAGGGTATGTGATCACATTTAATGATAAATTCCCATATATTCATACATGATCATACCTAATGTTAAATCACTAATGGTCCCGATGTGACCATACTTAGCATAAAACTCCCAAAGATTCCCATTGGGTTATATTTGATGCTAATTTCATAGATCACCATAACAACTTATGTTTCTTATAGTATCAAATGATGTGTAAAACATACATAATGTTTATTTGTCAAAATCAAAATGAATTTAAAATCAATTATTTCAAAACTTAATTAACAGAAACGTTTCAAGCGTTTTGAAAAAAAAAGATCTTATTTCCCAAAGTATTGATGGGGTAGAAAGACGCAAATATCAGCATTCAGTTCGTGTTTATATGTGATAGGATTAAGACACAGCGCTTTCATATTTTATTATTCCATTTTATTGCTATTTTTCATCAAATCAAATTATTCATTAAATATATTGCATTAGTAATAGTTTTATCAGTTTCCTGACAATTCCCATGTATAAAAATATACATCTTTTGGCTGATATTTCAATAACCAGTTTCACAAATTATTTGTTTTAATTCACGAAAAACTGGTAAAAAGAGAACAAAACCATATTATCATGTGCATTAAATTGTGTGGCTTCGCACGAAATGAAAATCTTTTTTTATATTTCTTACAAATATATTCAGTTAACTATTCAAATTATGTTTCCGAGTAACTGATCTATTTGCGGTTTAATAATCATTATATGTCATTGCGAAATTCACACATATTCCATGCTGTCTTCCAACATCACGAAATTCGAAATGGCTAAATTATGTAGAGATGCGTTATTCCACGCACACGTACAACTTGTGAAACACAGGATTTGATCAAGAAATGTTCGTTATATATATTACACGTACAACTTGTGAAACACAGGATTTGATCAAGAAATGTGTGTTATATATTACGCGTACAACTTGTCAAACACAGGATTTGATCAAGAAATGTGCGTTATATATTACACGTACAACTTGTGAAACAGGATTTGATCAAGAAATGTGTGTTATATATTACACGTACAGCTTGTGAAACACAGGATTTCATCAAGAAATGTGCGTTATATATTACACGTACAACTGGTGAAACACAGGATTTGATCAAGAAATGTGAGTTATATATTACCGAAAGGACTCCTCAGCGGACCGTAACTCAAGAGAAATACCGACAAGTGTCTAAAATGTGCTCTGATGAATGTGGACGTAAGTTTCTGCACTGAATAAAGAATAGGCTAGATTATCCCCAAATATTTCAGTCGTTGCCAATACAGGTTTGGGGCCCGTGTATCATATTAATTAAAATCTATTAGTTGCGCTCTACAATTTCGCTGTTTACAATGGGTTAGAATTTTAAAGAAACCAAATCCCTTCCCCCACGTTTTTCCTACTGGCTGTACTGGATATTTAAACAAGACATGTTTTAAAATAAGTTTTAAGTTCGTCGTTTTGGGGTTTGTTGATAAATGTAATATGGGTTATAGAGTATACCTACAGCTTGGGCTTACGTCCGATGTGCACTTACCAAAAAGCTCTTACCTCTGCTTGGGCGTTTTCACTTCCTCGACTTAGAGGTAAAAAGTAAAAGGCCGGTAACGTTGTTATTGCATTTTATTTATTTTGTAATTATTTCACTGTACTTTCATAAGCTGGTATTGTCTAGTCTGGCAAAGTTCGTTTTCATTATCTTAATAACTGCTAAAGATCGTTTAATTTGAGCTAATTAGTGTTGATTTTGTTTTAAGAAAAACGGGAGCAGTCATTATTTTAGTTGTGGACCAGAACATCTAATTTCAACAAGTACAATATCTCATGACATTTTTCAGCGACAGTAGATGACAGTAGCATAGAGGTATGCCAAAAGTCTCTCCACCATGCAAGTTTACAAATGTAAACAACTTCACCTTACACCTGTCACTCTCACAGAAGTATATACAAATTTGTAGAGCGCCTTCATTCAAAACAACGTAAAAAAAAAAAAAAACAACAGATAATATAAGTCGGGTAAGATGTGCTTCGTTGTAACGTCACATGCATAGTGTGGCGTTTGCCGCGTACTTCCTTGTAATATTGTCAGATTTCTACACACTCAGCGCAAATAAAGAATTCTAGACCTTTCCGTAAACGTTCCTGTCAGCATCTTTCCATTCAGCATTAAAGTAATTATAGAGAAAAGATCACAGTAAATGCAATCAAAACTTACCGTAATGCGTTTATCAAAGCGCAATGTTTCCTCCAGGTGACATTTAACAGCATAATTCATAACATTACCGGAATGGTATTATTCCAAGCCAGGAAACCCCTGTGAGACGTATGGTGTGCTTTATGTAAAGTAGTGACGTCATATAGGATGCCCCGATATGATGCAATACGTATTACGCAGATAACAATTTTGATGTAATTATATTAAACTCAGTAAAATCCAGGTGATATATTAGCAATTCTGATAAATATAATCGTGAATTAGAAACTTGAATAAAAAAAAACCATCATGATGCTGTTTGATTTCATTATGTTTAAATTGCGATCGCATACGATTTCTGAGATTAGCACTGGAGTGAAAAGAAAGAAAGATAAATCCAACTATTGGATAAGCTGCCTCATTTTTCATTATTTAAATGATAGGACGCTTAGTTTGTCAGTAGATTACAGTCCAAGAGTAGGTGTAATCAGTCAAATATCCACTGACGTCATTGAATCCAGTTGTACGGTCACACAAACAAATATAGCATATATAGGTGAAGAGGCAAATAAAAACACATTTGAAAGCATGAGAGAGAGAGAGAGAGAGAGAGAGAGAGAGAGAGAGAGAGAGAGAGAGAGAGAGAGAGAGAGAGAGAGAGAGAGAGAGAGAGAGAGAGAGAGAGAGATTTTCTATCATTGTTTATTCATTAGTCAATCACTTATATTCCATGAGTGCTGGAACAGTCGCATGGAAATATATTAAATTGTTGTGTTATAGCTGCATAATTCCGTAGCTTAAAATTCATCATGGAACATTAAAAATGATAATGACATTTAGCATTTAGTTTAAAGCGCTAGGCTTTACCAATTACTGCCATCTCACCACTTTTCTGGTGGGTTCGAGTCTTGGCCTGGCCAGTTCGGTTTTGTGGAAAGCTTGGCATTATTTTCCCGTGGCTCATTGGTCTTTCCCGTGTTTTTTTTTTTTTCGGTTCTTCCTCCATCATCCATGTATCAGGTGCTGAAAGACTGAGTTAAACTTGAAACAATGAATGTGAATCAATTTCTAACTGCTGATTTTGGATGACGTTAATGAAAGACTGAGTTAAACTTGAAACAATGAATGTGAATCAATTTCTAACTGCTGATTTTGGATGACGTTAATGAAAGTCTTTCTTAGAGAGGACATTGATACCAATGCAATCTGCAAGACGACGATGACAATTCTATACATTACAAAACCAGTTGCCAAACTATTTAAAAAATTTTTTCAGCATCGTGTCCAATAAATAATAAACCTGCAGTCGAATTCGGGTCAACGCAGGTTTAGAATTATCTAACGATTATTGATTGACACTAAGACGTCTACTATTTGTCCCAGCCATACATCGTAGGATCAAAATAATAATTCGGGCAGGCGAAGTCTAGGAAAGTAGGCCAATGCAATATTAGTACTGATATAAAAGGCCTAATATAATGACCCACTGACCTGTCAGAGTAATAAACTCCTTTGAGTGCCTTTTATGATATATATATATATATATATATATATATATATATATATATATATATATATATATAGAGATATATATATATATATATATATATATAAAGAATACAAATCATATGGCGAATAACAACCCTCTCAAGCGTACTGGATCCACCAAGGGATCACGTTTGTCAGGGATTAATTAAAATAGATGCAATAAACTGACGACGAACAGTACGAAACTAGTAACTAACTAGCCTAAGCGCTTTCGACTCTTAATGAGTCTTTTTCAAAGGCAAATACAAAACATAGTTACGACAAACAAATAAACACAAAAACGTTGCGTTTGTAAACCTCTACATTTCTATCTTCACATGTGCTAAAACTATAAATACAACTAGCTTGTATAGACTAGTTGCGGAAACTGTAGACTTGTAGACTTTTAGGGAATTATACAACGTTTTCAGTTTCCGCAACTAGTCTATA